ATATTGAACAATTTTAAAATTCGTTACCTGAATGAAAGTGCATAACGAAAACGTTGCATTTCATTGTTTTTCTTCATTTCTGAACATAAAATATATGATTTTCTGAAAAAAAAAGAAGTTAATTTAAATATTTCTGAGAAATTGTGATAGACAAGTTTATTTCTGATTACGTAATAATACATGTCTCAGACTTTACTAGTTTAATTTAAACTATGTTTAAATAATTTCTTAATTTACACACACACACACACACACAATTGAAAAGACGGTTTAACTTTAACTTGAAATAATTTCTGTAACAATGAGAAGAGTAAAAACTGAGAGAAAGATTTTTAAAATTTGATGGATGCATATAGGTACAGAAAAAATTCTGGAGGATTTTCTTTTAAAAAAATACATCAAATATTAACTCCCATTAAAAAAAATATATATATTTAAAAAAAAAAGAAAGAAAAGTAAAACTGAGTGAAAAGTGAACTTACACGCGTGCGTTAGTAATTATTCGAGAAAAGTTGTTAGTTAAGCTAAGCATATTAAAAATTATTTATTTGATTTACGTTAACCTTCAATTTTAAGCTTTTTTCGAAAGATAGGAAATACATATTTTATTTCTACGCATTATTAGATGGTTTTTTTCTTTTACTAATGAAAATTTAGAGAAAGTTTTTCATCATGCGTTCCCCTTGCCTTAAGTTATAAACTTTTTAAAAAGGCACATTTTCTAAATAAGTGTTGGTGAGAGAAATAAATGTAAAGGTTTTGATTTTTAGAATGTTTGTTGCTAATGCCTTAACGATTCTTATAAAATTGGAGAATATATAGTCGGTTTTTTAGCCTTTCAAACGATTTTTACATACTAAAGTAAACATTGATTTATTCCCCTTACATTTGATGTAAAGTTTGTAAACTTATTGAAATAAACTTACGAGCTATACTTTTCACAAGAAAAGTGATGTAATTCGAAATAAAACGAAAAGGTGTCCGAAATGCAATATAATTTATTTTTAAATTGAATTTTAATTCAACATTTACCATTAAGTTTCAGAATTTGAACAATTAAGCAAAATAAAAGAAATGATTGATCTACCAGCACCAGAAATAAAAACAAAAAAATATCATATCCGAAATACAAAACTTAAAAAAGGAAGTTAAATGAAACGCTAAAACCAACTACTACTGTGAGCTGAAATTGGAGTGTTTCTCTAAGTTTTAAATTTTATTGCAATATAAAAATACGTTTTTATCCTTACACTATCATTTTCTTCGCCTTTTCGCCGACAAACTTTTTTTTAAATGTCATAAATTCCGACAAGATATTTTGTAAAATACCGTATGTCAAAATAACAAACAAAAAAATATTCAATTTTTGATACAGTAAGAAATTTTTAACATAATCGCTTCTTGTTTTTTTGTTTTTTTTTTAACAGTCTGTCGAATTTTAAATCTACGTGTGTCAATCTATATGTATCTCTGCGTGTGTAGTTACACACACACAGATACAAATGAATGAACTAAAAATATGAAACAAATTTTTATATCTTCTTTAACCCATGGATGGAGTTTGAAAATGTTTTTCAGTTTTAGATCACACATTTCAGAAAGTTCACTACTATTATAAATTAAAAGTAAAACATATTCTCTTATTTTCCTAATTTTATACATTCTTCTCAAAAGTAACCTTTTCGATGATTTTTTTGTTGAATGTTTGTTAGGATTTTTTATTTGGTAAAAAAATAAATAAATAAAATAAAAAGTAGTTCAAACAAACGTTTGAGGTAACATTTCGTATAAAATATAAATATAATATAAAATTAATATAAAATATAAAATGAAAAAAAGGAGAAAATACTTCTTTGAATAGTTTTCAAAGAATACATACAATTTCCGAAGCAAAGTTCGTGTTAAAACGAAGAATAGAAAAATCACACCCGACGAAAGATTTTATTTCATGCGGAAGCGACATTGATGTTCCTTTCAATTCTAGTCTTATGGTTGTCAATTTTCTTCCGTGTTCATTTTCTTCCTGGATTCCTGCAGTAACTGTTCGTCGACTCAATTGAATTCAATGCCCCCTTTTTCATTACCTATAGTTAGGCTCCGAATCTTATCGGAAGTTGGTAGGAAATCTTTTGAATTGCATGGTTTCGAACGAAAAACAAATATAGCTGTTTTCCCAAAAATCGAAATGTACCAAAAATATTTTTGAAATTCAAAAGTTTAAGCCCAACACAGCGTCTGCTTTCTCTCAGAAAAGCAGACGATACACGATCAAGCAGTTTAAAAATTTCTTATACATCATACAGTTTGATTTAACTTTGAAGCGTATATTCGATGTGAGAGTGCTTTTTATTTTTGTAAATGTACTTTATTCACATATTTTATAAACTTTGGTATCGTATGCTTTTACATTCCACTTATTTTCTTTATCAAAATGCAACACCAACGGTTTATGTGTTTTTTACTGTTAGTCTTCTTAGCGCAGGGGATCTGTTTCGGCCGATCTTCCAAGTGAAAAAGATTTGATTGCAATTAGCATTCGAAATTTCAGATTACCTGTGCTCGAACACTGACCACATCTGTTGATGGGAAACATGAAACTCCACCAGTCGCAATCCATTGTTAAATAAAAAAAATAAAAAACCCGAATATATACAAACTTTCTGCTTTAAGGGAAGCTACTCCACACAAATTTTATTTCTCTAGAAAACTGTTGATCTTTATTTAATGTGTACTTAACTTAATATTTTAAATTAAATTTTCTGAAATTTTACTTTTTTATAACTTTTTATGACAGTATGAGCTTCCAGTAATGAAAAAAAAAGAACGTACCATTAAAATAATGTCAATTACAATAGTCTTTAACATGAATTATCCCCCTTTTTAAACTCAATTTGCAAATTCTTCTAAAGCCTCAGTATATTTTTTTTACTCAAGATTCTGAAAACGTGAGCATTTAGGAAAGAAGTGTGATTTTTTTTTCTTTGAACATTCCAACGTTTTTCTTTTTTTTAAAATTAACAACCTTGTATTTTTTATAACTTGTGTCACATAATTGTATCAAACCATTGAAACAGAATTACTTTCAATATGTGTTTTTAAATAAATATTTACACATTTGTTAAACTTACTGAAAACCAAAACGAAATACTTATGACAGTTAATTAAAAGTTGTTTTTTTTTATTATTACAGCACAGGTAAGAAAATTAACACTTGAAAAAATAATAATAATATTAAATAATATAAAAAAAAATAATAATAATAATAAAAAAGCTTATTCTATTCCTCCCAGAAGTATCTGACTCCTTCTGCCATACATTATCTCTTAAACCAAAAAAGGAGTATTGCTGCCATATTTTTTACTAAATGTTCACCCAATACAAGGTCCAAAAGCCACTCAAGGTAGAGGGTTACTTAATGAGGTTGTTGTATGGATGTAAGAAGAGAAGTGCAGATTATGAGGATAAGTAGGATAGATAATGGTTGACCCCAGACTTGAAGTGGGTAAGATTGTAGAGAAGCATCCTCTCAAGCATCTTACCAATGAAATATGAAGGGAATGAAGATTATTCAACCTTGTCTATGTGGCATGGCAGTTCTTAACTTTAAAGGTATGTACTGGTGAAACTAAGAATGTAGTTAGTCTGAATATTTGCCATGGAAATAGTGATGGAATAGCAATAGTCTTTCATCTGCAGGAAAGTAACTGTAAAATTGGGAATAATTCATCACCCACAAAGCCACATTAATGCTTTTGAAATCTATCAAGGCTGGAAAGTGAGGATTGAGTAGCTCTGATCCAGATATGGCAGCAATACTGCATTTTTGGTCTAATAAAGGTAGAATATAGCAAAAGTCAGCTACTTCTTGAAATGACACAAGAAACACAGTATTTTTAGCAATGGATCATATATATGAGTTTCATTTGAAATCTGGGATGAACTTGAGTCCCAACAGATGTTCAATGCATGGAGCTTCATTGAGAATATAACTATTCATTATGACTGGAGAAAATATAGGGTCTGCTCGGTGATTATGGAACATTATTAGCTTGGTTTTAGAGGTATTGAATGTTACAAGCCAGTTTTTAACCCATTGAGCTGTTAAAGCTATTATCAGAGGAGAGATAACCTGCCAAGCTTTGATCATGGAAATCTTTGCAGGTGTACACATAAACAGTAATATTGTTTGCATAGATATTAACTATAGACCTGAAATTTTTCCTGTGAAGATCATTAACATACAGCAGAGAAGTAGGACTGCAAAGCGAACCTTGAGCAACACCTACATTCATCTCTTGGGCTTCAGAAGACTGGCTATTAATGATAACTTTTATTTACCTATAATAATTGTAAATTCTTTCAAAAAGCTTAGGTTGGAGCTACTAAATTCTCATTTTCCAGCCTTGATCAAATTCAAAATTGTTTACATGGTGTTGTTGGGGGAGGGGACTTATTTTTTCACTCTGCCAGTAGTTTTTCATAGATGCATCATTATAAGCCTGTCACAACTTTATCGCTATTTCCATAGGAAATGTTCAAATGAACTCCATTCTTTAGTTCTATCAGTTCAGACAATTACAGTTAGAAAATGCCATACCATTTTCACAAAGCTGAATCATCTACATTTCCTCTGTGTTCCAAATGTATAAGGTTCTACTCTTTTTTTTCCAATGACTGACACTTTGTGAATAGAATCCTGTGTGGGTGCTTCACACTTCAATCTTTGCCTCTTCAAGTCAAAGGTTAATCATTATCTTTCCTCCTTTAAAAAAAAATTGGATTTCTTTTTTTACTTCTACTTTGTGATTATACACAATACTTTGTTGTGCCACCTGTACCTACCTTCTCCTAGTGCTAATGGGCAATTACTCAGAATGTGTTTTAATGTACCTATTCCATTGCACAGGTGACTAGTTGAGTCTTTTTCCTTGGCAAGACATCAAACATTGATTTGATGGTAAACTAGATTCAGTTGTAGTTCATCCCCCATATGTCTGCCTATGTTACTTTTCGCTGCAGGATTTCCTCCCATTTTGTACATGCACCCTGTTGACTCATTCCAACTAGTTTCCTTAAGCATGTCTCTTCAGTGGCCACCCATATTTCTTCTTGAATTAACTGCCTTTTTTTCTTCTCAGACATGTTTCTGTACTGTTTGCAAGGCCAGCATATCTTTTTGCTACAGGATAGTCCAGTATTTTATCCTTCCCTCTGCAATCTGAATTTCTTTTTTTGCTCACCACTTTTCCCCAGCTGAAGCTATTTTTAAGTCTCATGGTGTTTTGTATTGCAATAATTCCCTTGTGTGCATGACTTTGAATTCAACTTCCAAACTTTTTAATGGAAGTTGCAGAGGGTTAATTTTACTATATAAAGCTAGACTATTCAGGCATTTTGGCACTCCCTGCCAACATCTGAGGTAACGGATTATTTTTCTTTCCAGCTTAGTAATAGGAAATTCATAGATTAATAATGGCTACAATATCTGTAGTGATACTAGCAAATTAGTATGCATAATTTGCATAAGCATAAGTGAACACACATATAAGTGGTCACTGAGAATAACGAAGTAGACGTATGAGCTTAGCGACTTACTAGTGCTAAACTTGTCACTAGTAGATACATATTTGCTCACTAATACTTACAGTGTTGTTTTTTGGCATACACCAGTATACGTTTTGTGCATAGAACTACCAGTTTCAAAGTAAGTTGGACATTGTCTTTTCTTTTGTATTCGTTGGACTGTTTGAACTGTTTGTTTTTGTGGGGAATACTCTCCCGCCATGGCGGAGGTGACCCAGGAAAAAGAGCCTTTGGCCAGTACATCTACTGCACCATCTGCTTGGGTGCCGGAAAGGCCCAAAAAAGGCCAGACTATTACAGGTGTCGTCGTGAAAAGTTGAAGGAGTTCATTAAGAAAGATGAACTTGTACCAATGCCTTCGGTCATGGTGACTGTGGCAACAAGGACAATCTCCCTATTGACAGTTGATATTAAGACCAGGAAATTCATACCGGTCAATAGGAAGCCTATGGAAGAAGCCCTAAAGGCTTTGAAAATCGGGGCCAAAGTCTTGGCACACAGACCAAACGCGTTCTGGGACATTTTGTTGGCAACAGAGGAAGCCGCAAAGGCGCTGGCCGGATGCACCCTCACCACGAAAACAATGAGGCTGCAAACGGAGTATATGGGCACTCGGAAAACAAGGATTATCTTACACAATGTGCCCATGTACATTACCGAAGACCATGTGGGGGCCTTCTTTTCAGACTATGTCCCTGTGGAGGGGGTATCGTCCATCAGGAGTAAGGCAGGGATTTCCACCAGTGATATGGAGGTCATGGTGACATTGAACCGCCAAAGCATTTTTGTGGTGGTCGAGGGTTGCCGGCCCTTCTGTTGGGTGTGTGGTGCGGCTGGACACCTGGCCAAGACGTGTCCAACCAAGAAGCCAGCAGCGTCGACGAAGTAGGCACCGGTACCAACATCAGAAGAATCAACTAAGAAAGCTTCCAGTAGTGAGTGGACGGAAGTGGTGAAGAGGAGAGCAAAAGTGGCAACCTCACCTCTCCAGCAGCAGCAGCAGCTCGCTGAGAAGGCTGCAGTCAGCCAGAAGCAGGGGCAGAACGCTGATACACAGAAGCAGCAGGAGCAGGCGGCTACGAAACAACTGCAGGACGTCCCAGATAAGGAGGGAGAAAAACAACAGCAGGAACGGGTTGCCGTCAAACAACATCAGCAGAAGTCGGATGGCCCCAGTAAAGGGGCTGCTAAACAAAAGCAGCTGAAGCAGCAGCAGCAGTTGCAGCAGCAGCGGGAGAAACGACAAAAGTTGCGGGATCAGCAGCACGAGCAGCAGCGGCTGCAGGCACAGCAGGAACTGGAGCGGCAAAAGCAGCAGCTGGCTGAGAAAGTGGTACAACCGGAACAGGTGGACGTTCTGGACCTAGGTATGGAGGTGAAGCAGGTGCCTCCACCTAGACCTTCGTCATTGAAGAGAGGAATGTGTGAGGACGAAGAGGAGGAAGAGGACTTTATCAATAATACAAAGAAGGAAATGAGAGCAGGCCGGAGTAAGGCGGAGAAGGTACTTTCCGCGCCGGCATAACCAGACAGAACGGCAAAAGATCGTCAACAAGGTAAGACGAGAAGCCAACACTATTCCCCTATTAGGGTTCCGTCTTCCCCCTCTCTCTCCTCCAACCAATCCAAAGGCAAAAAGAAGAGGCATTTGCCCAGAGGGGAGAAAATTTGTGTGGTAGACCGCGAGCGGCTCGAGAGGGACCTTTCCTCCCAGAGGAAGGCGCTCTTGAGGCCTCTTTTCAAGTGCACCGCTGTTGATGGCAAATCAACAGAGGATCCAAGGAACTTTCCTAGTGCCCCCGGTGTTATTACATTGATCAGGAATACCAGGGGAAACCTTAAAGTCTGGGACTATCTGGCAGAAGCAAAGGATGCGTTTCCGAAACTCCGGATGATTCAGGCGGAAACACCGGAGCTTAAAAAAAATTGGCGCAGTATTGTGCAGGGAGGGCCCCAGTTCTTCTCCATCCCTCACTATATAGGGTGGTAAAATTAACTTTCCCCACAGACGTTGGCGGTATTGTCACAGAAGGACGAATTACGTCCGATGTAGGTACTGGGAGTCTGGGACAATACGTCGGGGTCTTGACACCCGTAGATTTCCGGCCAGTTTGTGTTGAAGGGAACTAGGCTTAAATCATGTCTATTAAGCTAGCCAGTTTGAATGTGAGGGGTCTGAGAGATCAGGGTAAGGCGGGCCCGCCTGCTCTGTGATTTCAGGTCCTTCGGAGTGGATGTGGCTGCGATCCAGGAGACACACTTTGTTTACGAGACTGATGCTCGTGTGCTGTCTAGCGACTTTGTCGTCTATTCAACATATGGGGACCAGCAGGCCAGAGGTGTTTCCTTGTTGGTTAAACGTTCCCTGGGGGCGAGGGTAGACCTTGTTCATGTGGGCGCGGGTGGCCGGTTGATCGTGGCTGATATTGCCGTGAGCAGTGATGCGTTTCGAGTCGTTGCGGTGTATGCGCCCAATGACCAGAGTGAGCGCGTCAACTTTTTCCGTCAGTTGGGGCCGTTCCTGGCTGATTCTTCGCGCTTAGTCTTAATGGGGGACTGGAATGCCGTCCTAGTCCCCAAGATAGATAGGGGGCGGGGAGCTAGCGGGAAGGCATCGGCCGATCGTAGCTTGGTTGATCTGATCGACGAGTTTGGGCTCGTCGATAGATACCGGGTCGATCATCCGAGGGGGGAGATGTGGACGTGGGCTCGTAGTTGGCCGTCTCTCCAGGTAGCCAGCTACCTGGACAGAATGTTAGTGAGAAGAGTCGATCTAGATTGTCCCACGTTCCACCGGCTATACTATTCAGATTACAGACTCGTCTGTGCCTGGATGGTGTTAGGTACTAGGCCTAGAATGGCTGGACACTGGAAGTTCAATCTGTCCTTACTGGACAGGAGGGACTTTCAGCAACAGCTAACTAGAGTAGTGCAGCGGGAATTAGTGGGGGCAGTTATTGGGAGTAGGTGGTGGGAGAATCTTAAGGATAGGATTAGGATCTTCTCCACTGAATTTAGCCAACGACTCGCCCTACATAAGGCTGAAAAGGTGAAGACTTTAGAGGATAGTCTGTCCAGGGCGGTGGCTGGGGGGGACGGAATTCAGGGTCAGGTAATTAGACATAGGTTAAACAAGATGTCTAACGAGGGCGATGTGAACATGGGCGCCGAAATGCGCAAGGAAGAGATCCGTCGTTACCCCGGAGGTGCGAGGCGTTTCGGCGGCATTTCGAGAGCCGTTTTACCAGGGAGCCTGGTCTCAGTGGCGACGAGTTTCGCAGCTATTTGGCTGACTTTCCTTGGCTCTCGCCGACTGAAGCGGCTAGCTGCGAGGGTGAGACACAGAGGGCGAAGTCTACTTGGCATTGAAGAAGGTCGGCAGAGGCAAGTCGCCGGGACTTGATGGTCTGCCCTACGAAATGTACTTGAGGCTGTTGCACATCTTTGTCTCGACTTTGACAGTGGTGTTCAACAACTGGTTCCGGCAGGGGTCCAACCCCAACCGGATTTCCAGGGGCGTGATCACGCTGTTGAAAAAGGGCAAGGATGTTGGGCGGAATTTAGACGATTACAGGCCCATAACTCTGCTAAACACAGAGTTAAAGATTTTGGCCAAGATCCTGCAGGAGCGTTTGCAGTCAGTTGTCGCGAGCTTGTTGGGACCTGAGCAGACTTGTGCTGTGAGGGGACGAACAATTCAAAGCAACCTGCATCTGATCCGCACGATCATAGAGGGCGTAAAAGACGACAAGCAGGCCGCGCTGATCAATTTGGATCAGTCCAAGGCATTTGACAGGGTCGACCACGAGTACCTGGCTGCTGTCCTGCAGGCCGCCGGATTCGAACCCGACTTCTGCAGGTGGATTAGCCTCCTGTATCGCTACCCCAGTGCTGTGGTACAGGTGAACTTTTGCGCTGACTCAGTCGGTACGACAGGGGTGCCCACTGTTGCCCTTACTTTACGCTTTGGCCTTGGAACCCTTCCTTCGCCGGCTGAGGGATGAGGCGTGCAGTCCGGCTCTACGCGGAATTGCCTTTTTTCCTGGTAGAGCTCGAGCCAGGGTTTCTGTGTACGCCGATGACGTATCCATCTTTGTGTCGTGCCACAGCGACAAGTCTTCCGGATTGTGGTTAGGTGCCTGGAAGGGGGTCGCGCTTTCGGGACTTCCGGACTTGGCTTCGAAGGAGGTTGTCTTTAAAGGGTAGGGCTGAGGCGTGTGCCACTTACGTCTTGCCCCTTATCCTTTACCGCTTGGCTGTACTTCCTCTTTGCAGGAAACGTATGGAGGCGATCGAGCGCTTGATGGCCGACCTCTTGTGGGACGGTCGCAAGCATTGGGTCTGCAAAGAAGCCTATTGTCAGCGTCCGTGTCATGGGGGGGCTGGGATGGCCACACCTGGCGAGTCATCGCCATGCCTCGAGGTTGGCCTTCCTACGCCGCGTTTTGACGGAGGACTCGATGTTGGCGCCGAGTGTTAGGGATGCTTTCCCTCGCCTTACCATCACTCCCCCCATTTCTTGGCTGTCGTGGAAGATTGTCGAAGTTCCTCAGCGAGTGTTGGTCGGCTTTGAAGGTCATTCCTCGGTCCAGTGACCTTTCTCGGCGTCGGAGACTATTGTATCATGAGTTAGTGGAGGGGGTCGTGAAGGATCCTCTGGGTGACCGGCTCGGCTTGTCGGCATCAGAGTTGCGCTCTTTCTGGTCTTGGGCGCCAGCGGCGGATTATCTCACCAACCCTGAGTTTTCGCTTAGCTGGCGATTGATTCGGAATGTGCTACCTCTCAATGATATTCTCTTCAGAATGGGCAAGGCAGATTTGCCAGATTGTTACCGGTGTGACCTTGGTTTGGAGGAAACGGCTTCGCACGCCTTCTACCATTGTCCTCGGGTGCGCCCTTTCTGGGATTATGTCGGCGAGTTGACGACTCGTATCGCTCCCGAGCAGCTCGTGTCCATTGATCTCGCGTACGTGTGTGACAATGAGTCGCCCCCATACTCCGGGGTAAAACGGATGGTGTTTTTTACGTTGCTAGCCGTGGCTAGAATGGTTGTGTGGATGTCGCGAAAGGATGGAATCTTGCGAAATGATCGTTTTTCGTATCAGGATCTGATTTTGTTCTTTAAGCATCAGCTTGGGGTGAAAATCAGATCGGATCGAAAGCGTTTGATTTCGACAGATTTCAGCGAAAGGTGGGTAACTGTGGCGAGCCTGGTTCGTGTGGACGGTGGTAGCCTTGATTTTCTTTTTTAAGTTCCCTTAGTGCAACGGGGCGGTTTCCTATGGACCCCCATTCTGGTTAAGGTAGTCTCTATTTTGTGTTCCTAGTTAATGTGAATAAGTGTTGTTCCTGGCCTATGTCCGGCTTTTCTTTTGTTATGGCATACGTCGAGATTCCCAATCTTCCCAGTTTGTTTTTTGTCCCCACTTTTCATCTCGGCAGAGTCAGCTTTTGATTTACATAGTCCGTCATTTATTTTTTTCTCTTCCCATTCCGTTAGTGAGTGTGCTTCTTGATTTTGTCTATCGACAGAATACAGCGGCCAATCTCATTATTTTTGAGGGGTAGACGGGGCCTACTAACATTGTTTTGTTTAGTTTTGTTTTCGGTTGATATTTTGATTTTATTATTGGGTTTCAAATCCCCTTCCCCATCATTTTGTGTTTCATTGAATTTTTATGGATATATATATATAAATGAACATTAAAATTTTTAATTCATGGGGTGTTTAGTAGGTCCCTTGTGTATATGAGGTATTGTGGTGTGTGCTGAAGTGATAGATGATGGATGAGTTTTTGTGGTGAATGTGTAATTGTAATGAATGAATGGGTCACGAGTGTGGTTAACTAGGAATAGAATAGCTAGTGAAAGGCCAACCTCTCCTCACGCCCCCTTTGGCCTTGTGCCACAATTTTGTATCATTTACAAAATAAATAATTACTAGTGCTAAACTTGGACATCACAACAATGGTGTCGCCGATAGGATATCAATTGTCTCTGAAAGATCCAGAATTCGTGGCTACATGGATTCGTTGTTTCTCTGCCACTGCAAGAACAAAAAAGTTGAAAGACAACAAGGAAAAGGGAGGCGAAAATGAAATCACAGATTTATTTTTGGCTACAGCTGGATGCGAGGTGGTAATGAAAGTCTCCACCATGGCATATCCCTCAAATTTGGAAGACCTGACTTTCGAAAAAATAAGTCAGATTGTAAGAAGAAATATGAGACCCAAGAAAAGGCTGGTAGTGGCAGAAAGAACGAAATTCATGTCGATGAAACAAGAAATTGACGAACCAATTATAAAATATCTACACCGTCTACGAAATGCGAGTAGATATTGTGAATTTGAAAAACTTGGACAAGACGAACAGACTATTGAAGAGGACTTGAGTCAATTAAGGTTAATTGAAGGTATGTGCAATGCATCACACCGATATAAAATAATGGAACCATTACAAATAGGAAATATGTCTTTAAATACATGTATTGACTTCATGCAGCAACAAGAACTAATACAGAAATA